GGGGGGGGGGGGGGGGGGACTTCTGAGGTGGAGCCTCTCTTTCTGACTCTGACGCTACTTTTACTTTGCCTTTGCGAGTGCTGAATAGTAACCATGTCAATACTGTACATAACAGCTATTATGAGCAAACGGGTTAATTAACTAAGTTCATTTCACAATCGCATTACAACTGAGCTTCTCAGAGCAGATTTTATCTGTGCCTTAAGTGTCTTTGACATTGTCTAAGGCTGTGGGAGGGGTTTCACCAGGACTGGGAGTGCATACCGGACAGAGACAGCTCCGGGTAACTCACAAGCCTTGACGTGTGACATTGTGACACCTTCCAGCTCTGTAAACAGACATGGTCAACTGTCCCCCATGCTCCCGACTCCGTAGCAGACAGAGAACACAGAACAGTATCAGTCAAAAGTTTGAACACGCCAAGCTGCCTGCAAAGGAGAGCGATAGAGTGTCGCATCACTTGACCTGGTCACCTGACCTAAACACAGCAGAGATGGTTTGGGAGGAGTTTGACCAGTGAGTAAAGGAAAAGGAAATACTGACCTTCTTTATTCCAGCACATTACTGCCTTATCTGCACATATTTGTAGTTGAACTTCCTCTATTAAGGCAATTGTAGGCAATTGTAATTCTAATTGTAATTCTTATAGTTATTTATAATCTTGTTTGACGTTGATGTTTATTATGTTTTATGTATTTATACCCATGTTGTCACAGTCTTGCAGCCAGGCAGACCGGCATTTCAGTATACACTGTACTCACTGTATGACTGTGTATGTGACAAAGAAAAAATTTGACTTTGACTTTAAAAAGCAGCCAATGAGTATTCAGCATACATGTGGGAGCTCCTTCAGGGCAGCTGGAGAAGCATCCCAGGAGGCCACCTCATGGAGCAATTGGGGTTAAAGGCAAATGGTGGGTCACTCTGCCGATTCGGGGATTTCAACAGAAAACCTTCGGAGTCCCAACCCACAGTGCTACCCCCCAAACAATTTTTTTGTTTAATACTTTTTTTGGCCGCTATGTTTTATAACCCAGAGATACACAAAAATAGATATTCCTAAACAGTGGTACAAAGAGATACACAGACATACACCCACATACACAGTGGTACACAGAGATACACAGAACTACACAATGGTGTGCAAAGATACACAGACCTACACTGACCTACACACTACTGTGTGCCAGTGCAGTGTGTCAGTGTGTGTCAATCTCTAGGGGGTACACTTAGTTTGGTGGCCCCTTTGATTGCTTCCGGAATACTCTAGCTCAGTCTGACTGGTGTGTTTGAAAGGGTCTCAGTCTGGAGGAGTTGGCCCATCGCCCTAGAATGGGGGGGTCCATCCCGCATCAGACAGGCTGACCTGCTCCCAACCTCCATCGCGTGCGAGTGCCTCTTTCCCTGGAGTGACGCCATGACTTATATGGAACCTCAGCACCCCCCCCCCCCCCCCCCCCCCCCCCCCCACCAAAAGACAAGGGGCCATAGAGAGACCTGAATGAAGGACTTACTCTGTAGGTGTAACATGAATGTATATACTCTCTGTGCTTGTGGGGACTGATGCTGGGTCAGTTTGACTGTCTAACTCATAACAGTTCTGGGTAACACTGGAGAATAGAATTTGCTGATTCTGGAACAGTGTTAAATTAGGGGGTGGGTCATACAACCCGGGTCAGTCCCCTGTATGCACAGCCGGTTCTGTCAGTTCTGCAGGTACATCAAAGACTCCTTAGAGATCTTACTCTAACAAAACAGCAGATAAGAGATATTTCACAACAAATGGTCTTGAGCCATCAGGTTTAAACAGAAGAGAAAAAAACACAACTTCTGATAATATGAATGACTCACTGTCAAGAAAATGAATGAAGGGAGGGTATTCCGGCTTGTCTGACATGAACAATTTCAGCGTTTGTGGGTTTATAAGTTCACCAAAGTTCCGTCTTGTTCACTCCTGTAGAAACAATTTTATGAAATCAAATCCACAAGCTTAATTCTTTTTTTTTCTTAATAAAAAAAAGGTTCATTATCCTATAAAACTAGGAGAAAAAATGAACTGGTTCTCATACACGTTTTAATTCAGCCTTGATGTATGTCTAGACAGCAAAGGCACTTTTCTATATTTAGAAAAAACACGCCAGTATTGCAGAGCTCTTCAATGGGTGACATAATCAAAATGACCAAAAACGGTAATTCGATTCAACGGAATCCCTGGTGTATCCTAAAGGATGCGGGGAGGAGCGGGTGAGCCCTGCTTGAGAAATCAGCACCCAAGGAAAACCTGTTTGTTCACCTTTCTGAGTATGTGGAGTGGCTCACATGACCGTCTGCCGGTTCTGCTCCAAAGCTCATTTGTAGCACACGCCTAAACGACCTGCGTTGGAACCCTACAACCTGACA